ACTGTACGGTTTTTTAATATAAAAAAGTTCATACAGTACAATTTAGATTATTATATAAGGGCTGTACTGTATTGTACGAATTTTATAGGTATTGTACGATTTTTGTACAAAATTTATGTAAAATCATATAGTACAAAATAGCTTTTCGTACCGTACAGTTTATCGTCATACTGCATTTACCTCTATTATTTAATTCGTTGTAACTAGTATCACCTGATGTAATTCTTAAACAATCTATTCTGATCCAAATCAATTATTCTGTTGATAATTTTTCTGCGACTTTAACATTTTCAAATTCCATGTGATCTAATTGTCACATGTCTTTTGTTATAAATGTAATTGTTTCACTTTTTCAAAATAATTAAGATGCAACATCAAATTATTTCTCTTTACATATAGAAAAATATCTCAAATTTTCCATTTGTACAATTTATCATATTCATTAGGTAACTATTTTATCACATCTTGCATATAAATATGATTTTCAGCATTCCCTAGATTTACTTTTTTTGCTTTTTGTACTTCTTTTTCATTCAAAAAATATATTACTATATTTTTAATTTTATTGGTTGTTTCAATTTTTTTAAGAATTACTTCAATTTAATTTTGAAAAAGGAGATTTTTAACCATGAGAATTTTTGCAAAAGATGATTTTTCCTTAATTTTTTTCACTTTAACAGAAACTTTAAAAAAATTATATACCAGTTTCTTTATGCCAGATTTTAGGAGATATTTTTAGATTTCTCCACAAATACTTTTTTAGCTTTATTATTTTTATTCTTTTTACTTTTTACTGTTTCAAATTCTTTCTCAATATATATGTCATTATCCTCTTACCTTCTGAAATTTCTTTGTATTTTGGTTCTGCCACAAATAAAATACTTGACCCTGGTTTAACAACATTACTAATATTTATTTCTGTTTCTTCTTCAAATGACTCTCTAATAGCTCTTTTTTTACTTGGATGTACTGGTATCAAAGGTATCTTTATTTTTTCTTCTATATTTATAGTTGTATTATTTTTATTTTGTGTGTTGCTAGCCGTAAGAATAAAATTCATATTTTCTTCATTTTTTTGGTTGTTGTTATCATCTTGTTGACCAGATACACTTTTGATATTGTATTTATATTTTTTCTTACTTATACGAGTAAAAAGATAAAAAAATAACTAAGTTTTATATGTAACAACAGTGAAAAATTGTATTTCTCTACTGTAGGAATATTTGATACAAGTGATCGATGGGAAGAGTTCTTATCTAAATATATAATAAATAATAATAATAATCAAATAATAATTAATTAATCATGAAGGTACAGTGAGTAAGGTGAAGTAAAAGCAATTAACACAGTATCAAATAATATTTAATAATATTTCGCAATATTACAACATAAGATGTAAGTTTATTAAAATATAAAATATGAAGTTTTTAAAAGTAAAGTATAATTCAGCAACAGAAATATTATCATGTGTTAGGATGTCCATTTTACCACTCCTGAAGTAAGTTTACTTTTTTATCTAATAATAATTAAAATATTTTAGTATATTCTGTTATACTAAATAATAATTAATTAACTAGCTGATATAATCTGAACTACTGAAACTTACACCGACAACAGTAATTTTTATACTTTCTCTTTTGTTTACACTTCATCCTTCATCTTTGTATTTCATCCTTCATCCTTTGTACGTCATCCTTCATCCTTTATCTTTGTACTTCATTCTTCATCCTCGTATGGTCATCTCACCTGGAATAACAATTACCACAAATTATTATTCCCCGTGACATTTTACCTAATTACCAATTTGTGTTGTCACACTATAAAAGAAAAAAACCTTCTGTAGTTTGGAGGCTATTTTTTGGGAGATATGTGAAAAACCTCTATTAAATAATTTCATCAGTTTATGAATATTAGAAATAGTTAAATCTGGTAAAAGGGAAATATCCATTAATGAAATACCAGAGAATTATATCAAAATCTATACAAAAGGATGGAAAGACATTCCAGAGCAAAGACCAGTTATAGAAGATGTTTGTGATTCTCTTGAAAATATTTAATTTGAAAACCTATATTATAATTCAAACAAAAATAATCAATTATTTATTAATCTAATAATTAATTAAATAAATTTAAACTTATGGAATCTTATAGTAATATAGTTTCAAATGAATCAAATGATCAAATTTCTTTCAGAACTTCAATTAGTTAAGCAAATTTCGAAATTGCAGGTATTGATAAAATAAATTACTTTTAATTAGCACTAATTAATTAATTTAAGCATATCAAGTAACTCTTGTTTTTGTGTTATATTACGATTTTTTCATTTTTAAAAAATTCTGAAGAATCACCAACTATTTCTCTTAATTCTTATGACTAAGAATGGTACAAAAATGAACTTAAAAAAATTAGAAAACCCTGGGGAATCATCTTACAATCAAGAATAGTTTAATAATGAACTTAAAAAATTTGAATATAATGGTTTTGAAAATCTTGAAGGTATTGATAAAAAATAGTCACATTCATTATGCTACACTAATGAATGAAACAAAAGTAATTTTAAAATCGATCGTTGTTAATTCTATGGAATTATTTGTTACTGAGATAAATACTGTTCCAGTTAATATACTATATAAAAACTCAAAATTTATCAAATTTATTATTAATTGAATATTTTATATTTTACTGTATTTTCAGTTTAAAAAACATTTGAATATTTTCGACATCAATTTATCATAGAATTCCACTGAATTTCATAAAAAGATAAAAAATTAAATTAAATTAATAAATATTTTTTAATGAAAATTAATAAATTTTATATATAGATTTGAATAGTAAAAATTATATACTCATATTTGAATATTCAAATGGTGAAACATTACATAATTATTTGAAATCTAATTTTAAAAAACTTATTTGAAATAATAAGTTAAAACTTGCTTAACAAATTGCTAATGCAATTAAACATTTTCATTCATTTGAATTGTTTAAATTTAAATTTTTATGATAAGCAATATTTTTTTTTAATTTTATATAATTTTATTTTATATAGAATTCGGAGAGCATTCTTATCCATAATAATACTATTAAGATTAGTAATTTTGTTATATCCAAACTTGTTATTGAACATTCAATTAATTTATTAATTTCTTCAGGATTGATTAAGTACGTGGATCCAATACTATTTAAAGAAGAGAGAAAATTTAGTAGAACTAAAGCTTCTAGTGTTGGAATTTTACTATGGAAAATCTCAAGTGGGAAAATTCCATATAAATCATATGAATCTAGATTAGAAGATGAATTAGAAAAATTGGATTTAATTTCTTATATTATTCAGGGAAATAGAAAAAATCCAATTGAAAGAACATTACAAAATAATGTCAAGATCTATCAAGGTTTGTTTTTATTATTGAAATTATTTAATTTATAAAAAAAAAATGAATTTTCAACTTTATCTCAAAACAATCAATCAATATATTTATTTCAATTACATATTTCAATAGGTTGTTGGAATCAAGATCCAGATCAATGTTCAAATATTGAGCATGTAATTTAATTATTGAAATCACGTTAAAATGATTGTGCTAATTAATATTTCGTTGATTAATTCAAGTACTTTTTTAATTTGTTATTAATTCACATTATTCACATTATTTATATTATATTACAGATTGTGAGTATAATTTAAATTCATAATTATTTAAATCAAAGTTTCAAGCTAACTAATATCTAATAATACTTCTTTTATTAATTATAATGTAACTTATATTATAGGGAGTGAGTATAATTTAAATTCATAATTATTTAGATCAAAGTTGTAAGCTAATCTATATCTAATAATACTTTCATCATTTTATATTACAGGTGGTGGTTAGTATAATTTCAGTTCATAATTATTTAGATTATAATTTCAAGCTAATCTAATATCTAATAATACTTCTTTCATTAATTATAGGTGGTGAGCATAATTTAAATTCATAATTATTTAGATCAAAGTTTCAAGCTAATCTAATGTCTAATAATACTTCTTTTGTTAATTAATAATGTAATTAATACATATTATATTACAGGCAGTGAATATAATTTAAATTCACAATTATTTAAATCAAAGATTCAAGATAATCTAATATCCAATAATCCTTTTTTCATTAATTATAATGTAAATTATATTACAGATGATGAGTATAATTTAAATTCATAATTATTTAAATCAAAGTTTCAAGATAATCTAATTTCTAATAATATATCTTTCATTAATTGTAGGTGGTGAGTATAGTTTAGATTCATAATCATTCGGATCAAGGTTTCAAGTAATCTAACATCTAATAATGCTTCTTTCATTAATTATAATGTAATTTATATTATAGATAGTGAGCATAATTTAAATTTACAAGTATTTAAATCAAAGATTCAAACTACAGAATAATTAATCAAAATTTTTTAAGGTACTATTTTTGAGTAACCACCACATATATTATTGTACTAGATAATAAATAAAACTGCGCATCTATTTTTGAGTAACTACCACATATATTATTGTACTGTGATGATGACGAAGACTGGTAAGATGGTACAAAGATGCAGTGCAGAAAACATGTGGTGTGGGAACACAAATGATGAGAATAATGGAGTTGTACAATGATGGAAATGATGGAGAAGCACGAATGATGAAAATGATGGAGGAGAGAGAAATATAAAGATAGCAACATTTGATATTTTATCTCTTTATTTTATTTTATTTTATTTTATTTTATCCTATTTTATTAAATAATTATAACAACGTTTATAATAATATTCGTGTAAATAGTAGAAGTAGTAACAGAATAGAAACACGCCATTGTAATATTTTGTTGCCTAACTTTTAATAAATCTTTCTTTTGGTTGTCTAATTATAAATAAACATTTCATCTCTTATAAATCTGTTCTAGCATCGATAGTATACATAGGGAAAACTACCTCTACTTCACTTGTTTACGTACCTCCCAGATAATACTCATGATTTAGTAGTTGTTATTTAAGTTGTCACACTGTATAGCGATACACAAAGAAGTGTAAGTTATTATTGTGATTGGGAACTTGATTTGTTATGTAATCCTGTTGTGTGCTGTTCAGACGTACAGTACTAAATAATTAATAAAGGTTAGCTGCCATCATGTGATTCTGCACAGGACGCATACGATCCGTGCCTGTATGCAATTTGATCGGGAGTTAAATGATATTTGATATGTGTATTTTTTGGTATGGTTCTTGAAAAATAGGGCATTTTCTTCTATTTGTAAGAAAATATAACAAAAAATAAATATTTGATACCTTCTATTGACCATATCTTTTTGACCAATTTTAATTAGTCACTCAAAGGCAATTTACTTTGACCAATGCGCATCACAAAGTTCTGGATGTAAAATGTAACTGAAAAAATTCGAGGGTATTTTTAATTAAAGAAAAATTCATCTTTCAATCCGTTTGTAAGCCAGCTCAGCAAAACAATATTCAACTACTTTCATACCTTCTGAACAGTTTTAATTAGTCGCTTAAAGGCAGTTTGCTTTGAAATTACATCTCAAAATTCTGGATGTAAAATGGAACTGTAAAAAAAAATCATGAGTATTTTTAATTAAAGAAAAATTCATCGATCATCGTCTAACAAAATTACGATCAGAAAAATATATTTAAATATAGTTTTATATATTTATATTATTCGAAAATAATAAAATTATTGCATATTAATTACGTATAATTACAGATTAATTAAAATCAATTAAATCAAATAACATAATAATAATAATTAATTAAAAAATGTAGTCATAATTACACGTTCTATGCAATAACAATTACTTATAGTTTATTAATAAAAAAACACAAAACAGGCGAAATCACAACTTCCATTAAAAAATAAAAAATCATTACGCATAAACAAAAAATGTAGTATCAAAAAAAAAAAAATAAACGAAAATCATAACTCCTACCAAAAAAGGATTTCACAAAAATCAGCATAAGCGACACGACATCAAAGAAGTCATCTCTAATTAATGCGCATATATTTTTGAGTAACCGCCACATATATTATTATTGTGCTAAATAAATAAAACTGCTTAATTTAATTAATGCACATTGTAATAAAAGTAATAATTTAAAGAATAATTTAAATAAAATCAATTCGTCATCAAATTGAAGGGTATACTGTACTAGTTTCTTTTAAAAATGAATTTGAAATCATCTAATATTTTTCTTACATTGTTCTTTACTATGAATTGGTTAGTAGCAACCGTTTTTTGTTATAAACCAAGTTCACGACTATATCAAAGTAGTGTTCTGATTGGCTACAAGATTTATTATTTTGGGGGTGTAGGAAAGAATGATGCATTTTTTATTAATATAAATACTTTAGAATATATTGCCGTTGCCAATATCCCCGTTAACATTTACCAATCGTCTTCAGTAGTTCATCCTAAAGATGAAAATATTTGTTTATTGGTTGGAGGTTTAGCATACGAACCAGGTTCATCTAGTCTTGTAAGTCCAAATAAAGTCTATAGATTTGATACCGAAAAATCCAAATGGTCCGTAGTAGAAACTTCCAATAAACCTTCCGTGTCCTCAAGGCTCCATTTGAATGGAGGTGTCTCAGATAATAATGGAACTATGTATTTTTTTGCTCACCCAGATTATTCAGCTGATTCTTTTATTAAGCTTGATATTAATATGATGTCTTGGTCAAACTTCAACTACTCTGGAGATCTTCCCGGAGAATTTAATGGAACACATATGTCAAGAACGTTATATACTGCAACCTTATTACCAAATGGTCTAATTATTGTTGTTGGAGGAATGATCTTAAGTGGAGATTGTAGTATGAAAGATGTAATTAAATTTCAGTTTATAAAAAATAACAAAAAAATAGATTGTTGCTTATCATTATTTTTTTTCTTTTATTCCTTTAGCTTTTGTTTTTTGATATCAATTCATCAAAATGGTCTACAGCTGTAAGTATAAAAATAACATTAATAAAGTCGTGAAACTAATCATATAAATCTTTGGTTCTTTATTTTTTAGACTGCGCAAGGTGAAAATATTGATGGTCGTATCTATCATACCGCTGTATTAAGTAAGAATAAATTATATAAATTTTTTGAAGTAATTTTTTCTAATTTTTTTAATCACAATTTTAGCGAGTGACGATCGTCTTATTATTTATGGTGGCCGTTCTAGTCTGGATGAGGATGGGGGATATCCTAATCCTACTCTAGCAGTATTGAATATAGAATATTCATCCTATAAATGGTCTATTCCAAGTAGTGATAATAAATCTCATCCACCCCTAACTGGTCATTCAGCAACTATTTACAAAGAACAAGAAGAAAAAAGGGAACAAATGTATATTGCATTTGGTAAATGACATGTTTACGTATGTTTCTAAGATAAAAATTAAATATTAATATGATTTATTTTATTTTATGCTCATTTATATTTGTATAATTAGGTAGCTCCTCCGGAACTGATAAATATAATGATGAAATTATATTTGCTTTTTATACGGATGACTTTTCTCGGATAGATCTTAATAAAAAATCAAAATTAAAAATGATAATTGGCGGTTTTCTTGGCTTTGCTGCTACGGCATTTTTATTTATTATAATAGGATGCTATTTCTGTGATAGTAGAAGAAGAAAATTTAATAAATTACTTATTTAATAATATATTAACAAATTAATATGTTTGCTGTGTTAATTGAAATTCTCATTTATCATTGTTCTGACCGTCATGTTTGATGTGATGAATCAACAGAATCTTTTTATCAAATATTATCAAATAAATGTTAGTATCAATTATATATTTATTTTTCATTTCATAATTATCTATTTATTAATTAGGGGATTATGATGATGATTTGAATACATCAAATTTATAAATTTAAATTTTATTTAATGCCATATATTTTTATTCGTATTAAATAATAAAATACTATTTATTGATTTTTTTGATATTGTCTGCATGTAAAAAATTTTAAGTCCCTAGGATATCTAATAAAAATTGATATTCAAAGGTTGTAACATATGGTGATAAATACACAACTGAAAAACCCTAACCTCTGCAGCATGAGGTATGGTGTTCAACACTGTAGGGTAATATAACATTTTTGCTTTTCATATTCTTGCTCAGTACAGTCAAGCCTGTATATAAGCATGCTGTCGGGCCAGCAAAATCCTATGCTTATAGGCAGATCATGCTTATATAAATTTGATGTCACAAAAAAATAATATAAAACTTTGTAAAAAAATTTTTTTTATTAATAAAATCAAATTAATATTTTTAAATGAATTATCTAAATTATTCATACAAATCATCACTAAAATTATTTAATTCATCAAAATAATAAATTATCTAATTCATTCAAAATTATTATTCAAATTATTATCTAAATCTAATGTATTAAAATATTCATTAATTGATGATTGCATCATATTTTTGTTTAATAGAAAATACATTTTTTTTTTGAATTTCAATATTTTAAGAATTTGATTACAATTTTCATCTGTTGAAGAAAAAAAAGTTCTAAAGAATTTAATATATTAGTTGCTTCATTATATGTAATCTTTGGTCTTTCAATAGGATCATTATCATTAAATTCATTATTTTCACTATTTTCTTTCATATTTTCTTTTACCATTTCAATAATATTATCATTTGTTGGAATTTCTATAATTTCATTTTCACCTAATTGATTAAGTTCTTGGACATCTATTGGATTTCTATATCTAAGTTCATTTATTTGATTTGTAAGATTATTTATATCATTATCAACATCTGGATCATCTTCTGCTTGTGAACAAATTCCACAGTAAAGAAAACTATGATAAATTGTTTTAACACTTACATCATTATTCCATAAAGAGAATTGCTTGTAATATATCAATTTTCTTAGGTTCTATCTTATTTGCTTCAATATTTTGAAATAATTGTTGATGAAAAAGTTTCTATAATAAACTTTAAGATTTCAAATACACTAGTCAAATACAAAAGAATCACTGTACCAAATGGTAATTCTTATACTATAGGTTAGCTAAAAATCAGTAACAATTGACTGTCCTATTGCATCCTATATTATAAATCAGCTAAAATCAGAATTCCTTTTCAGTACAGCATATCTTTGCATTTGACCTGTGATAATGCCTATCATAGTGTTGTATTTTTAATGTAGTATTTGGTGGAAGAAAATGAATTCTTGTATTACATAATTTGTTCTATTCTTTTACATGTACTGAACAATTGTTAATCAAAAGAAGCACCTTTCGCCCATGCATTTGCTTATCAAACCATTTAATATATTCAATAAACATTGTTCCAGCTTTTGAAATCAATTGATATTGAATATCTAAAAGTTTCATATTTATATCTTTAAAACATTTTGGCTTTTGATATTTTCCAATTATCCAACATGGAAATTTATGTGAACTAACACCATTAGTACAGAATGCAATGGTTAATCTTTCTTTGCTTTTTTTTTGTTCTTTCTAATTGTTTAGTTACACCATTAGTCTTATCTTTAGGAATTTTTGATGAGGAATTCTGGTAACTTCTTTATTATATGATTCCCATTCAAGAATTTGTTGTTTTTCTATTAAGTTCAGGTTCTTTTGTTAAAGGATTGTTATGCTAATTAAAAATACATCTAATTAATTCAATAATATTAATAAATAATTTAATTAAATAATTTAATATGATCAATATTATATATTGATTATTTAGGCCATGATAAAATGATATTAATTCCCAATGTTATTAATTCATCATCTAAAAGGTTAATAAAATGTGTTGACAAAAGAATAGTTGATTTTTTTTAATAGATTGATTAATCAATAATGTAATTGATAATATAGTATAATTAATTAATAGAATAGTTAGTTAATTAATTAACAGTATAATTAATTAATTGATGATATAATATAAAAATAAATTAATAAATAATTTTACATGTAATTGAAATCAAAATAATCAAAATTCAATCTAGAATTTAAAACATAATGTTTGTTTCAAAGGATTTTCATCCATTTGTAATTAAATATATTTCTATATAAACTTCTTCCATCTGTGATAAAATCTAAATAATAATAAAGCAAAATATATATATAATAATAATTAATAATAATAGATAATAAATAAATATTTATCAATAATTAATTCATAAAAATATTTACCATCAAAATATTGAGTTATAATATGGTAAATAGCATCACCTGTTCTTAATTGTCAATATTCCAATAAGAACATCTAATACAAAAGATGCTTATATAATTGATATTATAAAATTACAATGTAAATATATATTTATATTAAAAAAAAATAGTTAAAATTATTATAAAAATAATTTAAATATAATTCAATTAATTATAATTTAAACTGATCTGATATTTACCCTTCTAATCCTATTAATTTGTATTCATCCACAATGTTTAGATAATTCAACATCAATAAATAAATTAAAATTATCACAGAAAATATCATCTTGAGTGTTAGAACCAATTATCTATAAATTAAAAATAATATAATTAAAATAATGATTTAATAATAATAATTTAATAATAATTTATATTTATTCTACCATTTACAATTATAGTTGCTTTATCCTTTTCAAATTTTGTGGCATTTTTCAAGTAAATTAAATCCAAAATTTCAGCTTTAATATTTTTAATAATCTACTCCATCATCTCCAGAATGAGCTAAATTATAAAAAGATCATCCAATTGAAATTTGTTTAACAAATCTTTTAAATGTTTAATTGATTGTCTTTGTATAATAAATGTTAAAGAATTATAAATGGTTTGAAATGGTTTTCAGAATTTAAAGTGATTTGGTTAATTAATAAATGAAATCTGAATTTGACAGGAAATATACAAAATATTAAGTAGCTCTGTTTATTCTCAGTTTAACCAATGAGTCCAACAAAACAAAACTTATACCCTTACAAATATAATCTAACAATAAAGCTACATTTTTCAGAATAATTCACATTCTTAACCAATGCTAATTTAGACCTACCCTTAAAAAAACTGAATTGCTCTCAGACTAAGATATACTATCCATGCTAACTTTAGGCATGACTTATAAATTGTGCAAGAACTTATTTTCTATGCCATACTGCAAACTGAATAAAATTATTACATACATACCTCTTATTTTCATTCTTTGCTTTCAAATTCTATAAATAAAATGAATAGTCATTAGCTTGTTACATGAATTTATAATAAAAGAAAAAAATATCAAATTCTATATCTACAACATCAACATCACACTTACAAATTGCTGAAAATTCATGTTGAGATTTTTGGTATTCAAGTATATTTTTAGAGAATAGATTCACAATGATTGTTAGAATCAATATATTAACAATAATAAACTCTGAACAGTTAACAGGAAACATGTGAAATATTAAGTAGCTTTGTTTATCCTCACATTAGGAATTAAATAAAAATATTCTATAATGCTATACAAACATTATTATATAGCATTATTCAAACTGCACTAACATATTAGAACATAATGTTCTAGTGCATTATTTAAGCATTTTGTATTAATAGTGTGTTATTTGAACATTTTTTGTTTATAGTATACTAGAATGTAACATTCTAGTATATTATTTAAATATTTCATATTTATAGTGTACTAAAGTTGACATTTTTAGTGTATTATTTCAACATTTCATATTAATAGTGTACTGGAATGTCTTTATAATATTCCTGATGTAGTTAAACCAATGAGTCCAGTGTAACAAGACTATATCCTTACAAATATAACCTAATATGAAGCTAAAATTTTCAGAATAATTCACATCTTTAATTGATACTGATTTAGACTTATCCTTTAAACAAACTGAATCATTCTCAAACTAAAATGCACCATCCATGCAATTGATACTGATTTAGACTTATCCTTTAAACAAACTGAATCATTCTCAAACTAAAATGCACCATCCATGCCAACTTTAAGCATGACTCATAAATTATGCAAGAACTTATTTCTCATGCTATACTGTTACTGCATAAATTAATTATACATATATACCTCATATTTTCATTTATATTTCATTATACTAAGTAATAATTAATTAGCTAGCTGGTACAATCTGAACTACTGATACTTACATCCAACAACAGTTGTATTTATACTTTCTCTTTTGTTTACACTTTATCTTTTATCTTTGTACTTCATCTTTTATCCTTTATACATTATCCTTCATCTTTCATCTTTCGTCTTTATACTTCATCCTTTATTGTTGTACTTCATTTTTCATTATCGTACAGTTATCTCACCTGAGATGACAATTACCTGAATATTCATCTAGTGCCACAAATTATTATCTCCTGTGACATTTCACCTGATTAACAATTTGTATCATCA